ACATACATGTGTCCCACAGTTGGGTTTTTGTTTAGAAACACCGTCAATGTTCGATTTCTCTTAAACGGGAAAGCAAATTTCTCGTACTTTAAGAAAAGATTGGAGGCCAAACTTGAACGAGGCCCGGTATCCCAGATATTTTATCAGAGTCCAGTCTTTTTTGGAAACAACCAAGTTATTTTTTATAAGGTTGAAGTTCAAGATGACGAGGATTTCCAGAACATGATTTCCAGCCATGTCTATTCTGGAAACGACTCTATTGAGTTGTACGTTTTGCTTCAAGAGCCTCCGGTGACACAGGAGGTAGAGCCTCCGGTGACACAGGAGGTTGATCCTTTGGAGAATGAGCAAGATGAGGTGGATGCAGTTGATGATGAAGAAGAAGATAACGAGTTAGAGTTTGATGAAATGGTGAACGACGATTCTGACGATGATGGCATCCCAAGTATTCCTACTGACAAAATCTACACACCACCTACGCACATGACAAACTTCAACATGGGCGGAGATGAACCTTCTACGGACTTGTTTTTCCAACCGTATATGCAGTCGGATGAAAATTTAAAAGAGAAGGACAAGTTTCGTAACAGAGAGGAATGCATAAGGGCCATCAAAAAATTTCACATGCTCAACTCGGTTGATTATAAGGTGGATCGTGTAAACCCGGAAAGGTACAAGATCAAGTGTGTCCACCCTGACTGTATGTTCAAGCTGACCGCATCATACAGACTAAGGGGTGACTGCTGGGTCATAGGTTCCATGACTACCCATACTTGTGTAAGTTCCACTCAATCACAAGACCACCAAAAACTCAACCATGATCTAATCTGTCAAGAAATCTTACCCCTGGTCAGCAACGACCCTTCTTTGAAGGTGAAAACAATCATCTCCCACATCACCACGGTTTTTAACTACACTCCGTCTTACCGTAAGACGTGGTTAGCAAAGACTAAGGCGATTGAAAGGGTGTATGGAAACTGGGAGGAGTCATACCGAGAACTTCCCCGCTACCTAAATGCACTCAAGACATATTCTCCAGGTAGTGTTTATGTTCTGGAAACATTGCCAGCGTACGCCCAAGATGGTAGTATACTACATGGCAACGGAATATTCAGTCGCGTCTTTTGGGCATTTCAACCATGCATCACAGGGTTTGCATCATGCAAACCAATTCTACAAATTGACGGGACTTGGTTGTATGGGAAGTACAAAGGCACGCTTTTGATGGCAGTTGCACAAGATGGCAACAATAACATTTTCCCCGTTGCGTTTGCCCTTGTCGAGGGGGAGATCGGTGGTGCTTGGAGCTTTTTCCTGAAAAATCTTCGTACACACGTGGCTCCTCAACCAGATCTCTGTTTGATCTCGGACAGACATGCCTCCATTGAAAGTGCCTATAATAATCCAGCAAATGGTTGGCATGACCCTCCTTCTACGCATGTCTATTGCGTCAGGCATATCGTCCAGAATTTCTCGAGGGAGGTCAAGGACAAAACATTGAGGAAAGCGGTGATGAATGCGGATATGCACTGACACAACCCACATTCAAATATTACCGCAACGAGATCCGTTTGTCTAACCCAGAAGCCGGTACGTGGATCGATAATATACCGGTCGAAAAGTGGACTAGGTCATACGACAATGGCCAAAGATGGGGGCATATGACAACAAATCTTATTGAATCAATGAATGGGGTATTCAAGGGCATACGAAACCTCCCCATCACTGCCTTGGTGAAATCCACGTATTTTAGGATGGCTGCGTTATTTGCCAAAAGAGGTGAAATGTGGTATGCGGTCTTGCAATCAGGACAACTATGGAGTGAAAGCTGTATGAAATACATTAAGGCTGAAAGTGCTAAAGCCAACACTCACATGGTTACACGGTTTGACCGCCATAGCCACAACTTCATTGTGAAAGAGACAATCGACCACAATGAAGGCCTGGCAAGACAAGAATACAGGGTCATTTTACCTTCTCAATGGTGCGATTGTGGCAGGTTTCAAGCTTTTCGTATGCCTTGCTCTCATGTCATTGCCGTTTGTGCTCATACCCATCAAGACGCGCTTCAACTGCTCTCAAACGTTTATAAATCTGAAACGTTGCTCACTGTTTACAACAACAACTTTCCTTTGGTGGCAAAACCAGACTATTGGCCTGAATACAACGGCGATATAGTTTGGCACAATGACCAAATGCGAAGGAACAAGAAGGGTCGTCCCAAAAGCAGGCGCATCACAACAGAAATGGACGATCTTGACAGGTTGGAAAGAAAGTGTGGTTTATGCCGTCAGGTCGGACACAATCGCAAAAACTGTCCGAATCGGGCGTCTGACTCGACCACATAAATTTTGTAATACAATAAATCTTTCCAATATTTGTGTTGTAAACATTATGGGTTTTCCGTTAATAAAACTGTTAACACAATTTAAGAAATTCAATATAGGAAATTACATTAGGGTTTTCGCGTACAACAATGATTAACGATATTCAATCTAGGAAATTACAACTGTTAACACAATTTCATCTGACCCATGCATCATCAGCATTACATCACTGTCTGTTTTGACTTCCTCTAACCACACATTAGGTCTTCCTGTCGCATGCGAGGTTGTTGTTCGTTTTCGCTGGATCCTTCGAATTTTTTCCCCCTCGGCGATGTCTCCATCTAGCCACCGCATCAACTCCCGCTTCAGACGCTCCATGGAGTGAATGTGCCAGAATTTCATTTTCATCGCAGGTTTCGTGGCGGAGAATATAACGTAACCATCTCTGCTAAAAATCATAGGCGATGTCATTACGTAAATAAGGGAGTACAAAATAAAAATACAGTGCGAGAAAGTGTGAGAAATTTCAAAGAAACGGACGAATTATTTATAAAACAGCAAAAAACCCTAGTTTTGCCCTAGGCGCCAAGTGAGATGGCGCCTCCTCTCATTTTTAAGGAGCATGCGCCATCTCACTTGGCTAAAAGACAAGGGAGGCGCCAAGTGAGATGGCGCCTAGGGCAAAACCCTAGGTGCATGCGCCAATTGAGATGGCTCCTCCTTTGTGGAGCCATCTGAAACATGGTTATTTGCGTAATTTTTTCCGAAACCCGGTTATTTGCGAAATATTTTTTTAATACATGGTTATTAATAAAAAAAATTTGACTATAGTCATCAATAAATGTGACAAAATATTTACAATGAACACGGTAAACTACAAGAGAAACATGACAACTATTATTTTGTTCTATTTATCATATTGTATTAAATACTATTGTTTACATAATCTTTTTAGGGTTAAATATACTCGGGATCCTCAGAAAAATCCCAACATTCAATTTTAGTCCCTCAAAAAATTTCCTTCGAACACTGGTTCGCCTAATCTTTTTCGTCCAGAGTATTCGTCCCACCTGTTAAATCTCCCTAACAGAAGCTAATGTGGAGTGCCACATGGGGAAAATTTTTTGACATGTGGAAGTGACGTTAGATTATATTATTTATATTTGTTTTATGTTGATTTCTTGAACAAATCTAAAGCATTTTGGTAATGTCTTCTTCTTCCTCGTAAACCTAAGGGAGTTCTCTTCTTCTTCTTCCTTGTAATCCCATTTGTTTGCAACTCATTTCCATCATTCAATTTGAAGCAAATGTGTTTCAATGGCGTCTTTGATTCAAAGGCGAAGCAAACCCGTTTCGTTTCATTCCATATCTCTGAGCATCCATCCAGGAAAATTTTGTGCATGTCCTGCTCGTTTGGTGTCATACCATGGCAAGAACAGACCTAACAAAGGAAGGTTTTTTTTTGGAGATGTCTATTTTGGAAGGTTCATATCTTTTTCATCTCAAATGATTTCTATTTTTGTACTATAGTGAAATATGTTTGGCTATGGTTGCAGGGTGATGACACTTGTAATTTGTTCATTTGGAATGAAGACATGGAATAAGAAAAAGAAGTTGTTGAAGCTGCAAATGATGATGGTAGAAGATGAAGGAGTTAGAAGCTATTAAAATTACAAAGGAGTTGTATGAATATTCAAAAGAAAAGAATAAGAAACTAAAGAAGAAACTAAACTTAGAGGCATTTGCTGGAAAATTAAAGTTGATATGTGTTATATTTTCGTGTAGGCTCAACATGTACTTGATAATGAAGTGTAAATGTTGATGAGTGTATTGAAATGTAATATTGTTGATTAGTGTTATTTGGAACTTAATCCATAAAAATGTAATGAAATGTATTCTTAATGGAAAGTTGTTGATTAGTTAGGTTAAATATTTATCTCTTAGTATGAGATGTAATTGTTATTAGAAGTACATTGTATGGCTTAATATTGACAAATAATGGGCATAAATTTGAAATGGTATGACCTATAATTGGCTTAATTTAAACAAAGTATGGTCAGAAATTTGGACATAGTATGGTCTATAATTGGCTTAATATTGAAAAAATATGGCCTTAAAATGGATATGGTATTCCATATACTCCCTGTATTTTGCATTCTTTTGCAGCTGTGGTGATATTTGTATCCCATAATATCCGAAGCATACTTGTTATACAACAATGAAGTAAAAATTTACAGCAAAAAACATAGGTCCATTCATTATAAAATAGTTTCAACATGTCTTATAACATAGTGGTGATACATCACCATTCACTCCTTACATTAATTAGACTATAAAATATTTCCAGTAACATAGTGGCTCTTAACTCATGACAGTAAACATGTTCAAAATATGGATAGTAACTACAAAATGTTAGCATAGTCCTCATTGAGTTAAGCATGTGAAAATGTCTGCCCAGCTTTTGGATTTACTTTTACTTCCAATATCATCAACTACGGTATTCTCTTCAGAAATCACCAATGGATCATCATGATCTTTCCTAGGTCTCTTTAGGTATCTTGTTTTGATAGTCATTAGCTTGTCACTCTTTATTCTTGCACATGTCAAATCAACATGTTCTTTACTTTGTTCTTGTTTGGTATCAATCCCATGACCCGTCATAACAATAAAGTGTTAGTAAATGTAGGGAATAGGTGGTTTGAAAGCACAAAATGTGAAGATACTCACAGGATCGCTGCTACTTGGCTTTTCTGAAGAAACCTTGACAACACCTAGTGGCTTGAAGGCACTAGAATTAGAAGCTTTTGGTTTTTTACCAAAGAAAGTTTTAACTCCACCTGACTTTGTTGGACTTTGTTTGACAGTAGATGGTAGTTTGATAGGTGTTATGTCAATGCTAATAGGTTGAATGTCAAGGATGTCTTTATTACTCATCAATGCTTTTAAAGTATCAAGATCCAACCTATAATACTTGTTCAAATTTGGAGTGACATTGTCATCAACCTGTGCTCGCGGTTCCATATTAGGAGTCTTATTGTCATCAACATGTGCATGTAGTTCCACATTACGAGTGTCATTATCATCAACTTGTGGTAGAAACTCAAACTCACACATCTGAGATGAAGAGCATTTATTCAAACCCTTTTTCTTTTTCAGAGACTCCTTACCTTTCACAAGACCTTTAGACCTCCCCTACAATTAAGACATGTTACTACAAATTTTGATATACACATAATCACAATAGGAATTCAAAAACTAACCCTTTCCTTTGGTGACTTGTTGGCTTTGTTATTCTGGTTAGCCTGTGTGAGAGGTTCCTTTGTTTGTGTATGTAGGCCTATTTCAGATGTGACAAGACCATTTTTTTCTTTAAAGTCCTAATATTATGGTCATATTCTGAGCATTTCTTGCACATATGGCTAGTACTTGATCTTTTCCATTTGGTTTGGTTTGACTTGTATGGTTATCTTATATGAAGCTTTGTTGGCTCTCATTGGCCACATTTGAACATGGGAGGCAATATCATAGAATCAGAGGTTTTGGGACAATTTTTTAGCTATTTAAATGAGTGACTACTTTGTCATAACATTTTGCATGTGTGGTCTTGTGATAGCATTCATGCACATATTTGATGGGGTCATCTAATTTCATATGAAGTGGAGTCACACCATGTCTATATGGTATCTCGACCAAGTACCAAACGTTACATGAGCATGACTATTTTTCCAAGTACACCATAAAGCTATCACTGAACAGGACACGTGTAACTTGAAATGTTAACCTACCTGCATATTTTGCAGTTTAACTAGCACTTTTTCTATTTCTCCATCTAATCTTCTAACTGGCTTGGTCATTATCTTACCTTTATACCCCATCTACCTTTTCCCTAAGTGTGGCAAACCTTCCTATAAGATAATTACTTATCCATTAAAACATGGTTATTATTGGCTTGTCTCTTTGTAACAAAATAGTTTCATTGAAAGACTCACTTAGACTGCTCATTAGGACATCACACTTAGAATGAAAAGTAAAAACATGCTTACACCATTTAGTTTTTGGAATAGCCATTAACCATTCATATGCTTCTAAATTGACCTCTTGATTTGAAGCATCTTAGGTTCATGTGATTCAAAGTATGTGGCCTTTGTCATGAGATCTCTAAACAAAGTTCCTCCTCCAAAAATATTCTTGAAGTTGGAATTCAAATGCATTAGACAGAATCCGTGTTCATATGCTGGATACTTATCCTCAAAAACTTGAACCAAACCCTTTCAATAATAAGAAATGCATTCAGTTTAAAAACTTAACAAGTAAGGTAAAACAACACAGTTAATAAGAGAAATACTTGCCTTATGTTGGTCATAAATGAAACACCACCTATTTTCACCAATGTCTTCTAGCAACAAATTAATAATCCAGTTGCATGATTCGTTGGTTTCAATCTTAACAACCCAAAAGCAAGAGGCAAGTACTGATCATTAGGATATCTCCCAACATAAATTAGTAATTTTCCACCATATTTGTGCTTGAGATGACATCCATCTAAACCTATAAAGGGTCTGCATGCTTTTGGAAAAGCCTTTTTTGTCCCATCAAACATATGTAACACCTTTCAAACCTTGGTTGCATCCCAGGTGTCGGACAATTAATATTGTGTTTGAAATTGTTTCTTGATGAAGCCCTCTTCAATTCATCACAATATGACTATAACAAGCTATTTTACTTGTTAAAGCCCCCTTTAAAAATTTGTCTATCAAGCCGTTTTTCCATCAAATTTTGTAACCCGGGACTTCATGGCATACCTCAGCCTCACATCTTCTACCACCGCATTTAACTTCATATTGGTATTGTTCTTCAACCCATTAACAATAACTTTTTCAATCCAATCTGCTTTGGATCTTTTATTGAAGAATTGTCTTCCACATTTGTGTTTGACAAACAATGTCTTAATCCTAAAAGTTGTGTTTCTTAAAACTCTGCTACCCAAGACAGTGTAGGTGCATAGTTTTTTGTTCTTACAAACAATCATACACCTATTTGCATATTTTTTTTTTAAATCTCACATCCCTACCAATCAAGACATTATTCTCTAAAATGGATTTCTTGAACTGTTTCAATGAAGAAAACTCAATTCCAACCTTGAAAGTAAAATCCTTACTAAGAACATCTTCTTCATTATATCTAATTACACTAGGCCTATCATCACAATTTTCATCATCTACCCCACTGTCAAGTTCATTAGTCATTTCATATAATTTTGAATTAAAAATACTAAATAAATAAATATTCTTATCTAAAGCATGTCCATAACATGTGCATGGCACATGCGGACTCCACAAGTACCTGACACATTGCTAGCTTAACATAAGTAAAATATGAGTTCTACATCGACGGATTATGTAGCTTTATATACATGCATGATATCTAATTAGCCATCTTAAAAGAGTTTTGATCCAATGATTAAGAATGGTAATTAAAACATGGGCTCAAATCCTGAAGCAATATTGTATTTATAAAAATTATTTTTAATTTAACATTTTGTGAGGTTAAGGTTTTTTCGAATATATTTTTGGTACAAAATTTATGGATTTCATTTAACACTTTGATAATCCATTTATGTGAGTTATTTAACTCTTACATAGTTGAACTCATCAATTGCATTATAATGGATTGATAATATCTTTAGTAAATATGTTGGATGCATGCTCTTTTTAATCCTTGTTACAGTCTGAATCAGACTTTGACTTCTTCATAAAATTTGTAGCCCTGGAAGTTAGATTCATTTTTTCTTTTAGTCTAACTTCAATCGGAGTGACTATACTCTATACATGATCAACATACTTCATAGAGGTAAAGTTGAATTTGTACCAACATGCTGCTATTTACCTGAAACGCACCGCTATTTTGTTTTGAATATGGTGTGGCAAGTTAACATATTTAGAATCTCTCCGCTATTCCTTTTCGAGTGTCTCTATTTCTAGGGGGAAATATTCAACTATGTTTATATGCTTGTAAGTCCTTCGTGATCAGATGATTGTTTTGATTTGTGATTATAGAAAAATGTTTGGATCATGCCATTGTCTTATGACTGCACCTTTATGGTCGTATGGAGTTGGATTGTTTTGTTGTAAGATATATGAGCGCATCTATTGAATATATTTTTTAATTATTATTATTTTTCTTTTGTTCCTCGTGTTCCATTCTTTTCCTAGTTTCATCATTTAACTTTCACATTAGAATACTATGAGATTTATCTAGTTAAGATGATTTTGACATGGTTTGGTATTTTCAACAAATTTTTAAATCTTTATTAAAAACCTACAAAATATAAATTCATTAATGGTAAAAGTACTTAGAAGTAAAAGAAATTAATACTAAAAACATCATTTGAAAGATTGTTATAAACTGACAACACCAATCAATGCCAACAATAAGAGATACATCTACCATTTTTAGAAAAAAATCTAGAGTGCATAAAGCTAGTGAGACAATTGCACTTATTTCTAAGGTTTCCCAAATTCACAACATGATGAAGACACTGATAAAACCATCTGACGTGCAAGCTGCGGAGCAAATAAATGTCGTTACATGTGAAACTTAAGTGGCTCGTGTTTATTGTGGAGGTGCATATTTATTTAAGGATTATGATGAAAAATACATTTTTTTTTTGTAAACTGTGAATGTTATACCAACATATACAATGATGGCAACTTTATATGTGTAAGTATACACAGTCAAACTAGTAGCAAATGATAAGAAAAAGGATCGAACTCACGAGAATTGTATTAAGCATAATGATTTTCATACAAGAAATTATAAAGTTAACATGAGAAAGGTAATAAAAATTAGCGTGTGTCACAGTGGGCAAAAACAATAAAATCATAACTTAAGAATATAGATTTAAAAGAGTGGATTAACATGTTGGAAAATAATTCATTTGATAGTTTCATCTAGTGCATGAACATGAAGTGATCTGGCTTGACATATTAGACCAGAACTTAACCTTGTAGTGTATGTTTGCAACATAAATATATACATTAATTCACTATGGAGCTTATTCCTAATCCTTATAATAGCACCAATACACTTCATATAAAAACTTATTTTGATTACCCGTATGACCCTAATTCTTTATGGAGAAAGTATCTAAGTGGGAAATGTATGCCTACTTGCTTTTTAATCACATTAGTTCATGAAATATATTTATTAGATGATTCTCAACCTAATAAACTATTATCTATTCCTAAGGTGATAAGGAAAAGGAATAAACACATGGCATAAATCCACATGAACACAATATATCAAAATAACTAATTCACAATATTTAAATAATTAAGGAAAAAATATTCTTTTTGGTCCTGTATGTTAACCTCAATATTTATTTTGGTCCCTTAATTTAAAAAGGGTTCATATTGGACCCTTAACTCTTCGAATGTTTCACTTTAATCCTTTTTGTCAAATTAGTAGTGAATTTAGCGACCAACTTATGAGTTTTTCTGTCGCTAATTAAATAAAAAAGATTAAAATGAAACCTTTGAAGCGTTAAGGGACCAATATGAACCCTTTTTAAATTAATGAACCAAAATGAACCTTGAGGTTAACATTCAGGACAAAAAAAAATATTTTTCCAATGATTAATTTTTCATTAAACTTCACATTATCCAACAACAAAAATTTAGCTCATGCTAAGAAAGTAAATACAATAGAAAAATATCCTAATCAATACATTTCTAAGCAAGAAGATAGAAATGATACACTTAAGAGTGACACTTTAACTACTTACATCATGTCAACAACAAGATACTTCATGTGTCACGCCTCATAACATTTTATTGCTTCTAAACCGATAAGGAAATGATACGGGACTTAACTTTTGTTTTTCCATCTTCCTTGTTGCATATTTTTCTCTCTAAGTTTTGAACCTTATTCTCACTGCCATTGCATATCCATTTATATAATTTTTTAGCTTCACAATGTCACTCTCCTCGGGTCATAGGCCATGAAAAATTACATTAACTTCATCCCAAAGCATGATGCATATTTTTTCTTTTCTTGTACGTGTGTTGTGATATTACATATAATATGGGAGACATCATGACCTTATGGAAATTCCACAGGCGTCGATGTGGCAGTTTTTGCATACTTTTTTCATCTTATGTCCATCCTTATTCTGTAGCCTATAAATTAGCCCAAATTTGTCTGCTCATCATTTCTCCAAATCATTTCCAACTCGTTGTAGCGATAGAAATATTGAGACTAAATCATTGATTGACTTAACTCGAAAAAATCAGTGAAAGTCACTACCGTACTTTTATTTTATCCAAAGGAATAGGAAAAGAGCGAATAAAACCCAAAGTAAAATAGAGATCGAGGTAAGGGATTTATTGTATAAAGGGAAGATGTTAGCACTCTAAACATCTACGGTACTCCGTAGAAACCTCTATGAAAATCTGTGTGTTTTGGCTATAAAAGAAATATTTACAAAATATATGGTGGAGATGAGAAAATAATTGTTTTTTTTACAATTTTTGCACCCACCCCGGTTGCGAACCTTTTGTACCTACGTTACTCCTTCGTGCAATAGAGGATCAAGGTACTCGTAGTTCTTCTCAAAAATTTTTAAAGAGTTTTGTGTGTTGGTTAATTTTAAGAAAAAAGTTTTAAAGAGAAAAGCCAAAGCGGCAAAAAAGTTTGAAATTTTTTTGTTTTTTTAAGTATCTAAGAAAGAAGTCATATCTTGATTAAGATTGATTGATGACTTTATTATGAAAAGAATTTTGAAAATGCATGGACTTAAGTCCAAGTTTTTTTATAAAAGTGGTTCAAGTTAGAAAACAAGACCCCTTTGAAAAAGGGAGAGGATTTTAAAAGTTAAAGAAGAATGGGAGGAGATGAAGAGACTATCCTATGTACACAAAGTAAAAGCTAAGGTAAGGAAATGTCTAACCAACAAGAAGCCAACACTTGTTATAAAGAAGTCAATATAGAATTTACATACTTTGAATTAAAGCTACAAGCATCGAATATACCAAGAGCATACCAATCATCCATATGAAAATAAATCACAAGCAAAAAAGTATCAAAGAAGTCCAATGTATTAAAACACCAAAGCAATGTCTTCAATATTGAGCCATATGCCATATAGATCACTTAAGGACAATATAACAACACCTGCGCATACAAGATTTCCCAATACAAGCAAAATAACAATGAAGTAACACAAGGTCCAAAGGTCTCAAGGTCTCAAAGCTTCTAATCCTAAGTCCATGAAGTCCACAACTCCAATAAACCAAGGATAGTAACCAATAGTCCATAAAGAGAGGCTTAAGTATTTTAGTGTTCAAGTTGGATTATTAAGTGTCTTAAAAAAAGAAAAGAAAAGCTCATGTCAGCAAAGATAAAATGACATGAAAATTAATGCTCAAGTGAGCAAAAAGAAAATAGCATGAGATGTAAATTCTAAAAGTAAAAGTGTATAAAAGTAAAGGCATAAAATAAAATGCGTAAAGTAAAATTAATTGTTAATGTGTTAAAATTAAGAAGTTAATTGTCAATGGTTAATGGCCACAAGATGATCAATGATGATTTAATGGTAGTATTGGACAAAAAGTAATGAGAACTTATTAAAAGATTGATAAAACCAAAGCCTCTTAACAATAAGTCTCAAAGGGTATTGGACCAAAGCTAACCAATCAAACATACTTGGGATTACAAACATAAAGTTTAGGCCACAAATGATTATTTTCTGAATTAGGATAAATTTAGCCCTATGTTAAGTAATCATAAGTGGATTTATGTAGAAGTCACACCTATTTTAAGGTCGGTCAATAGCAATGTATGTACCATACATGTTAGAGACATGGTAATAACCATACTCTTAAAACAGTAGCACAAGTCAAAAATAAAAATAAAGAAGAAAAAGAGGAAATCCATAATAAATGATCAACGATCATTAAAGATTAAACTTAGGCCAAGGCTGATGAAGACTTATTAGAGGATTGATAAAATCAAAGTCTCCTAACAATAAGCTTTAAAATTCTTGAACCATGGTTCAATAATCAATCATACTTGAACAATTTCAAGAATAAAGCTTGGGCCGCTAACGATCACTTAAAGGAATCAAGAAAGGGATGAGATGAAGAGGGAAAGGGAAATGAGAAGTTACATTGGATCACATCCTCAAAATTATTTCATCTTCAAGTTCAATCACTCATAATTGATGGATTAAAGCATTAAACATATCACTAATTCAAAGCACCAAGAATGAGTTAAATAATTCACTCTAAGATAGATTTGAATTAATAAATATTTATCCAACTTCGTTTACATCCTAAGTCTATTGAATTTGAAGAGAAGTTGGACATCCAAAATTACAATCCAAAGCAACAATCAAAAGAAAGGAGTAGGAAAAAGAAAAGAAGCCAAAACAGCCCCAAAACATGTCAAATAATTGCATTATGCCTTTAGGAAATCAATTTCATTATATAGGGAAAACAATTTCCTACACAAAATTTCCAGTTCTGGTACAAAAATAGTGATGGAAACTGGTTTCCTGTATATAGGAAATCGGTTTCTGCTGCAAAAAAACCCAGAAAAATAGCATTTTAAAGAGATGATTCTTGATCAAACATTTCATCAAACACCTTATGATCTTGGATTTAATTGAGCATAAAAATTCCATCAAATCATAAGCAAATAGTGTAACACCCCAACATTCTAAATTAATTATTATTTAATTAAGGGTTAATATCCAATTCACCCCCTGTCATATAGGAGAGTTTTGAAAAAAAAACCCTTTAAAGTTCTTTTTAGATTCCCCCTACCTTTTGTAGATTCTCTTGTTTTAGTCCCTCAGAATACCCAATCATCAAATTTTTTGATGTGACATGGATTATGTCTCTTTTTTAATTTATATATTTTTTAAATTCCATGTGGAATTTCTATTTATATTTCAATTTATTTTTAATAAATTCAGAATTTCTTCATCCTCTTCATCTTTCCTCTTCTTCATCTTCTTCTTTGCCTTTTCTTTTTCTCATTTCTACTTAAGGTCATAAAATCTTCCATGAGTGAATAAGCTTGAGGCTTATACTTTCTACCCCAAATCAAATCAATCTTAACCAGCACCCCAATTCCATAGAGAAAGTATCCTAAATGATAATGATGATCGTTATGAATTCCGAATTCAAAATCAACATTTATAGAACAAGTTTTCATCTTCCCTTATCAACAACCAATTTGTACTTTCTCTTTCTCAAAACACAGAAAAGCAAAGAAAATAGAGCAGATTTACAGCGAAACTCACGGTGGTTGAAGGTGGTTTAATGACGACACCAACTCAAATCAACAAAATCTCAACCTCGACCCCCTTGTTTTATTGTGTAGAGCATGAATCTGGCCTCAGATTTTTCAAACTTTAACTCAAACAGCCAGATCGGAGCATTCCTAAATTGAACCCATAAGTCAACAAACTCATTTGAAAACTCACAATTAAGGCATGAACAGACTTCTGAAACTTCAACCTTACAAAACCCTTATGAACTTGGACCCTTCAAATCATCAAAAAAACTTCTCTACTGCACCTCTCCAGTGGAGACACCACCTTGGAGGCAGTTTTCGACTTAGCAGCTGGTGTTTTCTTAGACTTCTCTGGCTTTCCCTCTTTCTGCATCTCAGCTAAACCTTCACAAATATCTTGAAGTTTAGCATCTACAAAAGAAGGAAGAGGATTATACTCACCAAACTCACCACCAATGCCAATACATGATTCATGGTGTTTGAGATTTGAAAAATTAAGCCTAGCAAAGTCACCATGAATATTATAAATAACTTTGTCGTAAGCCAAAGTAGTTTCTTTTGTTGTATCAAAAGTACCAAGCCAAAGCCCATATCTCAGTAACCCATTTCCCCAGCGTCTTTGCCTCTCCTCTCTGTATAGCTTCGTGGGTTTTGAAGGAGTATTACCCACATGCTTCATAGGGATCAAATTTGGACTAAGGAAGCTAAGAGTGTTACTGAGATGTTGTTGTTGATGTTGTTGGTGTTGTTGTAAGATAAAGCTTTAAAGTTGTATTTGGGATTGGATTTTGGTTGATTTAAGATGGGGTCAAATGGTTAAGACCGAGAAGAGAAGAACATGGTTTTTGAACAAAGCCTATGAATTTATGGCTATTTGATAACAGTGGTAGCGAAATTGAAGAAAGAAAGTGGCTAAGGGATAAAGTATGAAGGAGAAAGAAGAACACAATTACAAAAACTCAAATTAGGGTTCACAATAATTTAAGTTTTAGAATGTTTTCATTAAAATAAATAAATGACAGATGGAATAACAAAATGTTTAATTTAAAAAAATGCCAAGTTGTTAATGCCACATAAGCTTTTTGGGTGAGCTGGTTTAATGAAGGACCAAAATAGTGGAATCTTTAAATGACAGGGTGGGAATCTAAATTTTTTTTACGGGTTTTTTCCCTTCAAATCTCGCCCAAATGACAAGGGTCGAAATGGCTATTAACCATTTAATTAATTTAGCGTGAGTATATGAGTCTCTATGAAGTGTTTGGTGTATATGATGTTTTGGTGCTTTGTGTTAGTCGCTGTGACGATATATGATGTGTATTCGTGATACATTTGGGATACAATAGAAATGGCTTGATGAATAAGATGTTTAAGATGATGATTTTTGTGGAGTAGGATGAGATAATAAGAAGGTTTATAATATAAATAATTAGTTAGAATTATTCAGATTTAATAGTGATTATTTAGAATTATTTGGATTTAAATAAGTAGAAAAATATATGGTGTAGAGAAAATAAGGGCATGATGGCAAGTTCATTATTAGGAGTCTAAGAGGGAAAGTTTGGTATAAGGAGAAGGTTTGGGATTTTATACGATCATTCTATACGATAGAATTGGAAGAGCGTTGGGGAGAAAGAGACCTAATGCATAAAGAGGCAAGAAGAGCATATGGATTTCGATAGAGCACAGAGAGGAATCACAAACAAGCAATAGATCTTAAGGTAAAAGTTGTTTATCTTGATTATTATAATCAATTTAAGGTTTAGATAGTTGTGGATTTCTAGAAGGTTTTTGGTTATGATGAACATGTGATAATTTGATGAGTTAGATGATGTTTGTGGTCTTAGATTGTAAGCAATTATACTAGTAATATATAATACATTGGATTGTTGATGTTTTGTGAAAAAATTGTGATTAGATGATGTTTTAGGACCTATAATATGTAGAAATTGCAAGATTGGGACTGGTTTTTATGCAGGAAAACCCTGTTCGTGCTGTGTTACTGGGCAACGTATGTAGTGTCGTCAGGCGATGAATCTTTTCCAGGTGAACATAAGAGGTGATGAAGGTCAGAAAAAGAGAAAGTTATTGAGTGCATCGCTCCTAGTGTCGCCGGGTGAAGCAGGTGGAGATGGAAGTGTTGTCGAACGAAGGAGGTGTGTCGCCATGCGATGGAATCCAAATTTGATTGGCTGTGTTGGATTTTCTTAAAAGAGCCATCAACTGAGTTTTATAACTTGTTTTGAGGTGTCGTTCAAAATGTTAGATAGATAACACAAGGAACTTTAGTTAGATGGAATAAAATGAGATGAGAGGAGTATTTCCCCAATATCTAAGCTAGGATGAAGTTAGGCTCCCTGTGTTGGATTATGGAGATTCTTTGCTCGATATGATGATGTTATGATGATGTTTGTTCAATGATGGTGTTGTGATGATGTTTTGTTTATTTAAGATGATATGATGATAATTATTTAATTTAGATGTTATGATGATATTTAGATGAAATCATGAATGTTGATGCGTTTGACTAGCCATGGTCGTTTTTATTATGTTATTGCGCAACATGTATTCATGCTATAGTTTAGGACTTCTTTCCAACGATGTTATTAGGATTTTGGTCTAGTGAAGATGATAGGACAGTCTTCTAGTGAAGGAATCAATCCCATAGTGTGGATTAAGTACAAAGTTGTGAAGTACTCTGGTTCTATGTGGGAATCGATCCTATGGTGGGGATCTTTGGAGATAACGGTGACTTAGTTATAAGTGAATTTTCGGTACGACATGCATGAGCCAGTGATGTTGCCTTTCATTATAAGTGATATTGCATAATGATGTGATTTAATGATGCTTATTTCTAAATGGTGTTCTGACGACATGATGTTACGTGTTGATGATGTTGTGAAGGTGTGAGTATAACATGAGGTTCTGATGATGTATGATGACTTGCCTATGTGCATATCTACTAAATTCATTCTTATGTTTTTTATAATGATTATGATTTACTCCCCCTTTCTGCTTGAATTTTTCCTCCACTTGGGTAACACGCATGTGAACAGGAGTAGTCATCGAAGCATTAGAGGGTAGCTTCAGAGTACGTCTATTTTCTTTTCATAGAGTAAAGTGGGTCTGGATCTGATATGCAACATCGGGGTCGGGATTTTCTGTACCATGAATCTTATGTCCTTTGTTTTGTTTCTAAGATGTTGGGTTACCTTTCATGGTATTGAATTATTTTGAATTATGTTTATGAATCATGAAGTATGATGAGATTTTATGAAGAATTTATAATAAGATGTTTTGAACTAATGATTCAGATGCGAAGTTTTGCAGTATTAAATTAATTCTACTAAGGACATATTCATCTTGAATGATTTTGAAAACCCGTGTTATGGGGCAAGATGTTTTATTAAGATGTTTTATATGAAGATGTGATGCCCTTTTGGTGAATATTTTGATTAGCTGTATAAATTATTTATGAATATTCTTTGGGGTTTATAAGGGTGTTACATTAGTGGTATAAGAGTAGGTCGGTCTGTCCAACCAGGCTATTGAGTTTGTAGTGTATGATAGTGGAATACTGTCGAGATAATTTCTATCCATTATGACTATTATTGATGTGAAATAGAGAAATGGCTGGAAGGAATGATGCCACGATTGTTGCTGCTTTGTAGGCTATGGCTCAGGCTGTGTAACATCAGTCCAATGATGGATCCCATGTTTTGGAGACGTTTCAGAGGTATCATCCGCCTGTTTTCAAGGGAATGTTTGATCTTTATGGAGCACAAGTTTGGCTCAAGGAGATTGAAAGGATCTTTCGAGTCATGGATTTCTCAGAGGCGCAAAAGGTGTAGTTTGGTATGCATTAACTGGAAGAGGAAGCTGATGATTTGTGGGTTGGTACCCGTCAGAGACTGAAAACATTAGGTGAAGCTATTATCTGGGCTGTATTTAGTAGGGAGTTTCTAAGGAAGTGCTTTCCAGTGCATGTGCGCGGGAAGAATGAAATTGAGTTTCTATAATTGAAACAAGGGAATTTAACTTTGATTGATTAAGCTTTGAAGTTTGTGAAACTGGAAAAGTGTTATCCATAATACAGTGAAGCGACTATTGAATTCTCGTGGTATATTAAGTTAGAGAATGTTTTGCATCCAGAAATCAAACGGGTGGTTGGATATCAACAGATCCGTTTCTTTTCAGAGTTGGTGGACGGTTGTAGGATCTATGAAGAAGATAACATAGCTCATTCAGGTCACTACAAGAGCCTAAACGAGAAAAGATGGAAGCAATTTCAAGATCGTAAGAAGCCTTATGATGCCCCGGGTGATAAAGGGAAACATAAGGCTTATGATGGGAATAAGACAAATGAGGGAGGAGCTCCCACTTCTATCAAGTGCTATAGCTGTGGTTAACAAGGTCACTTATCTAATGACCGTGAGAATAAGGTACTGAGGTTCTACAAGTGTGGTAAGATGGGTCATTGTGCTCCTGAATGCAAGAACAATGGTCCAACTTGTTTCAATTGTGGAGAGCAGGGTCATATCAGTACCTAGTGTCAGAAACCAAGAAAGGATTCTACTGCTTAGACCAATGATAAAGTGTTCGTGCTGAGTGGGTCAGAGGAATCTAAGAAAGACAAGTTGATTCGAGGTACTTACTTTATTAACGATGTTGAATTGGTTGCTATTATTGATATTGGTGTTACTCATTCATTTATTTTGCTTGAATGTGCTACTAATTTGGAATTAAAATTGTCTGATATGAATGGTAGTATGGTGATAGATACTCCTGCTAGTGGTTATGTTACTACTACTTACGTTCATTTGAAGTTTCACTTAATTATTTATGGCAAGAGTTTTGTGATGGATTTGGTGTGTCTACCCTTACACCAAATCGATGTTATCCTTGGGATGAACTGGTTGGAGTTCAACTATGTTCATATCAATTGTTATAAGAATTTTAGATTCCCTAAGTTTTGTGATAATGGAGTATTGATGTTGTTGACTGCTAAGCAAGTGAACGAACTTTTAGAAGATGAAGCCTTGATGTTTGTGATGTTTTCATCATTGAAAGTTGATGGTAAAGATGCAAATATGGGATTACCAGTTGTCTGTGAATATTCAGAGGTGTTTCCAAATGACATGAGTAATTTACCTCCTGAACGTGAAGTGGAGTTTTCTATAGATTTGGTGCCAGGTATGAGTCCAGTGTCGATGGCTCCTTATAGAATGTCAGCTTCAGAGCTAAGCAAGTTAAAGAAACACTTGGAAAAGATGCTCGAGAAGAATTTTGTTCGACCGAGTATTTCACCGTGGGGTGCTCTCGTGCTGCTAGTTAAGAAGAAAGATGGAAGTATGAGGATGTGTGTAGATTACAGACAGTTGAATAAAGTGACGATTAAGAATAAGTATCCACTACCGAGGATCAATGATTTAATGGATCAGTTGGTGGGTGCTTGCGTTTTCAGCAAGATTGACTTGAAGTCAGGTTATCATCAGATTCGAGTTAAACCAGATGATATTCCGAAGACAGATTTATGAATGAGGTATGGTCATTAAGAATACACTGTGATTCCGTTTGGTGTATCTAATGTGCTAGGTGTTTTCATGTAGTATATGAATCAGAGTTTCCATTCATATTTGGATAAGTTTGTCGTGGTGTTCATTGACGATATTCTAATCTATT